ATTATTATTATTATTATTATTATTATTATTATTGTTATTGTTATTACTATTATTGTTGTTGTTATTGTTGTATTATTGTTATTTATAATTTGTACAATTAACCTCCTTGTGGTTCGATCCTAGTCTTGCCAAGTTATTTATTACTTCGACACTCCTGCACTTGGGAGAAGACATCAATTTTTTAGTCGTGTCTGATATCTTCTATACTCTATCTTTCTACCTTTAAACATTGAGGACAATGTCTTGTTTTAGTTGGGGGAGAGGGTAGTAGCTAAAAAAAAAAACTGTGTTTTCTATTTCATAAAGCATGTGCAAAATTGTTGTTACTATGATGATAGAGTAAGGAGATCTTTTATGACTCTTGAGACGCATCTTAGTAATCATTCGTAACAAGGTATATCATAATACTTCTTGAAATATTCAGATTTACAAACTCTCAAATTGTTATCATTTAATTCTACTTATATACTTATTTAGCATGTATTCTTAAACCTTAATTTACACACACACACACTAACATATGATTGTGGGTTGCATATTGGATTATTTCATTATTTATGTTCTTTTGTTGAAGGTAACAACTAAGAGAAAGGGATAGTATATAATTAAAAAAAAAAGACAAAAAAGACAAAAAATGATAATAATAAAAATGTAGATAAGTTTGGTTTTGTAGCCTCCCTAATCTAAGCAATTAAGCCCGAAGGGGTATTTTAACACCTAATACCCTAAAGTCAACTGACTTGGGAGCTATTGACCCAATGTTTGTTACATGGGTTGAGGAGAAAAGCTTACGGGAATCAAACATTGCATTATCTACATATTAGTATCTACAACCCGAGTTACTAAGCTCATAGGGATGTCTTAACACCTAATGCCCTAAGACCAACTGATCTGGGAGTCATTAGCTGAAAGCTCTTACATGAGTTAAAGATGCATGATGTTTTTCACCTAATGCCCTAAGACCAACTGGTCTGGGAGTCATTAGCTGAAAGCTCGTTACATGGGTTAAAGATGCATGATATTTTTAAATTATATATGTATATAGATTTTTTAAAAAGAAGAAGAAGAAAAAAGACAAAAATAATAATCTCAACCCAAGAAAGTTAACCTTAAACATTAGAACAAAAATTTTGTTTTCTTCCAAGAAAAGCCCCATAATTATGTGTTGACACATTGA